ATGTGAGTGGGGGGGGCAGAGAGAGAGGGAGACACAGACTCTGAAGGAGGCTTCAGGCTCTGAGCTGTCAGCATAGAGCTGGATGCGGGGCTCGAGCTCACAAACCTTGAGATCGTGACCTGAACCGAAGTAGGATGCTTAACCAACTGAGCCACCCAGGTACCCCTGGAGTAGCACTTTTATAAATGCTTGTTTATTTTATTTTGAGAGAGAGAGAGAGAGCAAGCATGTGGAGGAGAGGCAGAGAGAGAAGGAGAGAGAATCCCAAGCAGGTTCTGCACTGTCAGCACAGAGCCCTACTCGGGGCTCGATCTTATGAACCATGAGATCATGACCTGAGCTAAAATCAAGAGTAAGATGCTTAACCATGAGCCACCCAGGGGCCCCTGCATGTTTTGTTTTGTTTTGTTTAATTCCAGTACCATAATATTTTGATTACTATTGTTTTCTGGTATAGTTTGAAATTACAAATGTGATTCCTCTAACTTTGATCTTTGTAATCAAGATTTCTCTATTTGACGTCATTTGTGGTTCGAATTTTAGGATTCTGGTTCTGTTTCTGGTAAAAAATCCCACTGGAATTTTGGTAGAGTGTAGTGAATTTTAGGTTGCTTTATGTAGTAGAAATATTTTAATAGTGATTCTTTCAGTCTACAAACATAGGATATCTTTCCATTTATTTGTGTCTTCAATTTCTCTCATTAATGTCTTACAGTTTTCATTGTATATATCTTTCATCTGCTTGGCTAAATGTATTCCTAAGTATTTTATTTCTTAAATGCTATTGTAAATGGGATTGATTTCTTAATTTCTTTCGAGATATTTCATTGTTAGTAATGGGCATATGTGATTTTTGTATGTAGATTTCTTATCCTGTAAATTTACTGAGTTTATTCATTTTGACAGTTTTTTGGTGGACTTTTTGTAGTTTGCTTTATACAAGATCTATGTCATCTACAAACAGTTTTACTTCTTTTCTGATTTGGATGCCTTTCTTTTTCATCTCTGATTGTTCCAGGTAGGACTTCCAGTACAATTCTGAATAGCAGTTATGAGAGTGGACATCCTTGTCTCATTCCTGATCATAGAGTAAAAGTTTTTACCTTTTCACTGTAGAATGTGCTTTTAGCTGTGGGCTTATATGTGGCCTTTGTGTATTGTGGTGTATGTCTTCTTTACCTAATTTTGGGGAGTTTTATCATAAAAGGATTCTGAATTTTGTGAAATGCTTTTTTTTTTTTTTTTTTAATATTTGTTCATGTGATCATATGAGTTTTGGTCTTCACTCTTTTATAAGATAGAACACATTTACCAATTTACTTATGAGGAACCACCCTTGTATCCCAGGGATAAATATCACTTGGTCACAGTTTATGATTCTTTTCATATACTGTTGAATTTGGT